CGTTACACCGGCCATTTCCCGATGAGACCCCAACGTGGCCGCGTGCGTCCCGGGGTGGCTCCTGACTCAGAGATGGCGATCCTGCAGACACACGGGGGATAAACTACTGAGGTGCGTTCTCCCGTCGTCGCACAGTACGCTCGTCAGACACATCCAAAACAGGCTTTCCGGGATGGGAGATGACACATCATAAGGTACCACATATCTCTTCAAGCGCGACGGGTGAATATGCCACAATTGGCAACCGTATCGAATCTTCACACTCTGATCCCGGCGAACTTCCACAATCTCAACGGGCCCCTGCCAGGGCCGATGGAATTTCGGTGATGTGCCTACCGGCACCATCGGACAATGTAACCAGGCCTTGTCTCCCACCTGCCGTGGCTTCCGTGGAGGCTGTGTACCGTGCAGGCGCTCATTAGCCGCCTGCCTTCGTTCCGAATTTCCCAGCGAGGCCTCCCTAGCCTCTTTCAGACGATCCAATGCCTCAAGCATGGGGACAGGCACCGCTGACGACTTCCCTTTAGTTTTTACCCCCAGCTTGACCAGGGCCGGGGCTTCCGGTTCACGACCATACATCAAATAGAAGGGTGAATACCCTGTTGAAGCGTGTGGGGCTAATCTATAAGCGGCCAAGGCCGCCAGAACATGTAGATCCCAGTCTGTCTGAGCCGAATTCACCTGTTGGCACAACATAGACGTCAATGTTCGATGAAGACGCTCAACCATCCTGTCGGTTTGTGGGTGATATGGGGATGTCTGAATTTTCCTTGTACCCAATGCATCACACACTTCCTTCAATAGGCGGGACGAATTTTTTTTACCCTGGTCAGTAAGCAGGTGCTCCGGGGCACCTTTGTCAAAAACGTAACCCTGCAGGAAGGCCTCCACGATCGATCCTGCCGATTGGTCCGCTAGCGGTCATGCCATAGGCCACCGAGTGAGGTACTTGACCCCCACAAGCAAGTATTTGTAACCCCGCGGGGTAACGGAGAATGGTCCCAGAATATCAAGGGCTACAATCTCGTTCACCCGCGAAACCCGTATCGACTGCAATGGTACTCGATATGGCTGTGCCGGCGCCTTCCGCCGTGCGCACTCGTGACAGGCCTTAACATACAAATGAACATCATTTTGCAATCCCGGCCAATAGAAATCGTGCATCAATCGCTCGTGCGCGTCACGAATATGTTTCCCTCTCAAACATAGTGGCACAACAATACAAAACTTCTGTAAGACGACATCCCACCTGACCAGGAGGTCGTCTACGAGCCGAAGATAGGCCCGATCATCTGACTGTTTGGAACAGGAGGCCCGAAGCCTCATTCTGGTAAGTGAAGGATCGTCCGCTTGCAAGCGCGCCCAACAATCTCGTGACAATCCCAGCAACCCAGGCTCCTTAGCCGGTGTTTCGTCAACCCGGTCCGAATCGGCTGCAGCGGCTATGGCCGGAATGCCCTGCAGCGGTGGCCCGCAGCGCAGCGATCCCTCGGAGCATCTACACAAGCCCGACGACTGAGGCAATCGGGACACAGCGTCCGCGTTAACATGACGCGTCTCTTTCCTGTGCTGGACCGTGAAGGAGTATCCCTGCAGGACCTCAAGCCACCGGTCCATCTGACCCGAGGGTTGATCGATCCGCAAGAAGTACTGCAGCGCCGCGTGGTCAATGCGGACCAAAAATTGTCTCCCGTACAAGTATCGTCGATACAGCTGCACAAAGTGTACAATCGCCAACAATTCCCTGCGTGTTACACAATAGCTTTGCTCTGCCAGGGACAGTACACGGCTGCCATACGCGACGACCCTTTCAACTCCATCAATCGTCTGCGACAATACAGCGCCGATGCCCGTGTCACTGGCATCGGTGGATATCCAAGCGGCGGTGCGTTCAGCCAAAGCGTCCCGGAGCGTCTCAAACTGAACGATGTTCCTCGTCACCCCATAGAAACTTCTTACCCTTAGCAGTCAGCGTATGCAGCGGCCTCGCAATTGTGGCAAAATCTTTAACAAATCGACGGTAATATGACGCAAATCCCACGAAGCTATGCACTTCCGACACTGTCTTAGGCACTGGCCACGCAGTACACAACTGGTTTTCTCCGGGTCAGTGGCGACCCCCGCTTCACTGACCACATGCCCCAAGTATTTAACAGATGTTCTCAACAATTGGCATTCCTGGGGTTTAAATTTCAAATTGGCGTCCCGTAACCGGCCAAACACAGCCCGTAGCCACTGCAAGTGTCCCTCAAAATCTTTACTGAACACAATGACGTCGTCAAGGTATATCAAACATGACTCCCACTGCAATCCGGACAATACAAGTTCCACCATTGGAACCTCATTTGTCAGTAAAAAATATGATAATTTGTTTTTTACCCTTTTATCTGGCAACAAAACTGACACCTTTTTTACAAGGAGTCATGTTTGCATAGACCACAATACCGTATCACAATCCAACGCATGACGCGTGTTTCTCAAGTCCTACACTCGCTAACAGCACTTGCCCCGAACAGTCTGTTCAGGCTACACGAGAGATCGGTGTCTTTTGAGGTGACAGCGCTACCCCCACGGTGATTCACGACTTAACGCGACAGCTGGGGTCAGTGCAGGTTGAAGCGATTCTTTGAAAACGGAACTTTGTAAGGTCAAGAAGTAACAACTGCGCTGCGCCGCAAGCACAACGTGTTTGATCAGTGCGTACTTACTCGCTTTGGCACGTGGTTCAGAAACACGGTCATTCATAAAAAAAAGTTAAGTCGATAAAGAAGCACATGGATGAGAGAACGTCCGTTCGTTTCTCAGTCCACTTGTCCTGGTGAGGATCGCAGCAGCAGCATGCTGAGGAGGGAGGTGCAGACCTTCCTTTCCCTGGTGACAGACTCCAGTACATTACTATACACCACTACACCACTATACACTACACTATACACTACTATACGCTACTATACACTACACTATACACTACTATACTATACACTACTATACACAGACTCTTCCTGGGGAATTCCCAGGCGTTTCCAGGGCAGCTGAGTGACATAGTCCCGCCAGCGTGTCCCGGGCCGACTTCTCTGCAGGGTTGCCGGGCTGACTTTCCGTGGTCGGGTGAGGAGCTCGGTAATCCGGGAGAGCCTCAGAGTCGAGCCGCTGCTCCTCCAGATCGAAAGGAGCCAGTTGAAGTGGTTCGGGCACCTGGCAAGGATTGCCCCCTCGGTAGACTCCCCCTGGAACTCTACCGGGCAAGTCCCACTGGGAAAATGAAAAGATGCGAGAACGTAATCAGTATTCTTTGGTTCTTTTGGTAAAGTCACGTAGATAGAAAAATAACAATGCGAATCAAAATAAAAATTATATAAAAATAATAATATAAAAATATAAACCACGACGTTTCGATCGCAACAAAAGCGGTCGTCATCAGGAAAAGGGGGTTAGCCTCTAAAGGCAAACTGTTTATAAAGGTTTAAAATGGGCGTAGCTCAAGTGTCAGCAGCATGGGCTGGGCAGCTAATGTTAATGTTAGTGATGGAAGTAGTCGGCAACGACGGCGCTGATGGTGGGTTTCCACCAATTAAAGGGCTGCCAGGTAAAGGTTTAACATGGGCATAATTCAGGTGTAGCAGGATCGGCGGGGCAGCTAATGTTAACATAATCAGGTGAATAACAGAGTGCGCTTCGGCAGAACAGTGCCACTTGAAGGGCCGGTGGTCAAGAATAGTGATTGAGTGGCAGCCACGGGCTGCAATGCATTGCGCTGGGTGGATTGTTGCATCACAACAACGAGCATAGCGCCGGCTGGCTAAAACACAGCGAAGTTGGCACAGTGGGGGGCACAGCTGGTGCATCTGCCGGTCATCTCAGTCTACCAATGGCAACCTGGGGTCAACTTCTGTGAGCTCGTGCCAGCGAGCTTTCGACACTTCACGTGGCCTCAAAGTGCACCGAGCCTGATACAAGCGCCATGGTGACGTCACCACCACTTAGTGGCGAATGGCGACTGTTGTTGCAAGGCTGGTGGTTGTTATGAGGCTTTAATCTAGGGGTGGTTTGACCATGGCTGCTAATTAGTTGTTTTTAAACTGACACCCTATTGAGACTCCGTTGAGATCCTTGATTTACAAATGCTTTGTAAATTTAAATGAGTATGGCAAGTTACACGATGGCCATCATCTCTTAAATCTTGGACTGCATAACATGAAATTACTTCAAACCAATTGAACTAATTAAGCAATGACTTCAAGTGTCATCAATACGTGGAGCTACACACACATGCTCATATGTAGCTACATACCGTGTAACTAGACATGGATTTAACTCGTTAGTGGGCAGCACAGCGAAATCCATTGTCGTTATGCTCCTGGATCGATGCCCCATACCGCCAACCCTCACGAAAAGGCGTTAAGTCGGGCTAAAATAACCTGCATATGGTGTGGGGAGGCCCTCACCCAACAGTGAGCTGACAGATGGTGGTCCAGATGTCTTGTGATCCCCATTTAATTATCTATCAACTTTTTTTAAAGTAAGATTTATTTAAAACAGAAATGAACATGTAAAGGGTTCAATTAATTGTGGTTTACAAGACACCTGGACAACTCTGTACTTTGAAGAAACTTTAAATAGATTTTCGAGATGTAGTGACGTCACTGCAGTGTGCATGCATACTTCTTAAAAGTTGCAAGTGTGCTGTGCTCATGAATCCATTTACATTTCACGACAACGCTATTTACTCTTATTACCAATGTATATTCTCTAATCCATGTCTTCCAATCTCAGTGTAATTGCACGCACCTCTCTCGGGCTTGGAAAGTCCTTCCTATACTCAAGTCATGTTGTATTGAGTGCAAAAATAGATGGACTCACATGTTGAATGTATTGTACTGTAATTAGTCCACCCGACGCTAACAGCCACGGATGGTGGCTTCAACAAATCACAATGCAAAATTACTTCAATGAAAGTGATACCATAGTGACAATCAAATCAGCAATAAAAAAAATACCGAAGGCAACTTTATCAAAGCAACCTTTATTTGTACAAAACTAGACGTTAACACAATAGTAAATAAATTGCATTGCCTTAGTCTGGGTCTACGAGTCCCAAGGATTTGCAACAAATTATTGGCATCCTGAGACAGCCTCAGGCTTAGTATAAATCATGTGGATGAGGTTTGAAGATCCTTTCTTCACAATCATGTCTTTGGGGCGAATAAACAGACAATCACTTTAGTCCATGGCCCAGAGCAGAAATGAGTTTCACTTTAGGAGGCGTTGATAAGTATGTATGTTAAACGGCTGTCGCACCGTATGTAACCAACCGTGCTAATCAGAGGTGTCAGACAACTAAACACAAAAGTGAAACACCTGGTGAGAGCACCGCATGGATTATTTGTGGAAAGTTAATAGGTGTATCTACGACCAAATTGCCCGCAACATACCTGATGTCGTCAGATCTCAAAAGCTAAGCAAGCTTGAGCCTGGGCGGTGTTTGAAGGAGCAGCCACCATGCATAAAACAGCTGTTATAAGCTATGTGGGGCTACGTTATAGGTAGCAGAGGGCAGTCCGGCGCAACTCTTATAACCCAGGTTATCACGAGTGCTTGTGACCCCTTTCACCAACCCACACTCACAAGCATGGTGCACCATTGTAAAATTCAGCCCCACGACCCACACGGCATTGGAAGGTCTTCATCCAGCAATGCATTGACAATAATGGCTGCTACGCACGAGTACGCATTTTAGTTTTTGGACGGCGCAGCGGGCAAGTTGGCGGACGCCTGCTCCAGGAAGGCGAGGGGCCCCTGTGTCGGAGCCTCTCCAGAAGGACCCTTGCGGGGTTGTCCGTGGATGTCCTCAAGCACTGCCTGCCAGTGTCGTAGCTTGCCCAGGTGCCGCTGAATGAGAGATTCCTTGCGCTGAAGTTCGGCTTTGAGGTCGGTGATGTCCTGTGGATAAACGCAGGTGTAAGGGTGGTAAAGGCTAGCGATGAAAAGGCTCGAGACGGGTGCGTTTCAGAATGCAGTTCAGAGGGATAATGTTGCCTCGATCAGTACAGAGCAGTCGTGTTATTGGCTCCAAAAACCCCGTCTCATCCAAAAACATATTAGTCTCATCTGATACAGAACCCTCGTCACATACCATTATAAAACCTCGTGTTAAATTAATTTAAATCAACATCATATTTAAATAGAAAACCTTATATTTTTCAGAACAGAACATTCATTTCAACCAAAACAAAACCCTATGTCATTAAGGTGCATTGGCTATTCATTGGAATGGTTTGAGCTACTCCACAAATTATACGAAAAATTATCCACAAGTGAACTCCATTTACAACGATTAACATTCGCCACATGATTAGCATGGTTGGCAACGTACGGTGGGAAAGAAGTTCAACATACATACCTGTTGAGCATGCAATGAATTACCGTGCGAATGTGCAAGTCCTACGTGATCATACATCGCTTATTGCACGCAACTGTGTATCACTTGCATTGTGCGTTGCATGCGATTGTGTGCATTGTGTGCGAGCAAGCATACTGAAAAGTGTACAAACCTCTCGTATAACTTGCTCCGGCTTCTGCACCGAAAGCTGAAGTCGCTTTTGCAGGAAAAAACTTTCGCATTGACGAGCCACGTCCAGGAACCTGTGTATGCTCTGGTCAACGCCTGCACACACAGATCACCATCACCACCACGGGGATGAATCATGGTCTTGCCATGGACTCATCCACCGAGCACCTGGATCAAGCAAAATGCATCACTTATTATCCAATCATTGGACTTCTTTTCAAGCATCCTCCTTTACTTGGTTGCCCAGGAATCATTTTGATGACACTCGCAACTGATATAAGCTGTAGCTGGGAATAAAATTCAGGTTGTCTGGTTTATAGCACAGTGTACTAACCACTGTACCAATGTAGCGATTCATAATAACGTAATAATTTGAAATATACCATGAATCCATGGCAACGAGACATAGATGCATTAGTCGTCTTGACTGTTGAATTAAGTGGGCTTGGGCAGGACACCATGGCTAAAGGGATGATGGCTGACAGAAGATAATTCTCCTGAGAGGATGACTACTGTAGATATGAAACAATGAGACCAATACATGTGGAGGCCTGAGGTTGGATAGTGGAATATTAGGGCTGTAAGCAAAGGCGACCAGACTCATCATGTTTTTGTCCATTGTGGCGATCGCCACATCAGCCTCGTGTACCATGCCAACCTTAATATACACTCAGTATCAGCACATGTCTAATCAGTCCACGTAGGATTAATGGATTTTGCCTTTTTGCGTGTGTGCTTACCCGTTCTGATTTCATCCTGGTCCGTGCTGTTGACATATTCTTGAGAAACGAGGGAGGCACAGCAAGCCTGATATAACGAGAAAATTACACAGGGCTGGATTTGTTTCATGAATTATTTCACCAAATTATCTGCTGTGTATTCTTTTCCAAATTTCCCCCCAATTTTTTTATCCTGAAATATAACATCGGCGTCATGTTATGAGACAATCCGTTTGGATCTCTGCCTCTGTGCAAGATAACACCCCGCTACCTCCGACATCCCTTCAAGTGACTTCTGTTCCACACAGTAGCGGGCAGCGATTTCCAACTCACTCGACCACAGAGTAAGTTTTAATTGATAACAAACTTATATAGTACAGTATTTGTATATTCTAAACGCTTGAATGCAATATCATGGGATCTCCTTTGCCAGTACCAAAATATGAGAATAGGTTTTCCCCTTATTTCTGGCAACAAAACAGGTGTTAAGATGTTAAAACACCAAACTGAAACCTTTTTACAAGGAATCAGTCTGCATTAACCACAATAATAGTGGTCAGAATGCAAACAAAAAAAACATACTCTGATAATATGTGCATTGTCTTTGGAACCGATTGGTCCACACCAGAGACAGCTTTCTTTGGAGCATAGTCTTAAATGGTGTTAGACCTCTAGTCTAATACTGAAAGAACCAAGAATATGAATTGCTGCAGTCACGAAAATTTTAAGTCTAAATTTACCATTCAGTCTCTAAGCCGTACACGAACAATCCACCCCGGGGCCACCGCCACCCACCTCGGGGCGCCGCGCCCGCCGGCCAAAGTCGTCGCTGCACCGGCAGAGGAACCAGGCAAGCGGCGCGATCTACGTAGAGGCCTACGCAATCGCGACGACGGCTTTAAGGGGTACCTCGAAAGCCGCCTCGAAGTCGTCCACGAGGTTGGTGGTGGCACGCGGAGCTCCCTGCTGCTGCTGCTGAGACTGTTGTTGTTGTTGCTGCTGCTGCGGAGGCGGCGGTGGCGGCGGCGGAGGAGCGAACATCGCTGAGGAGCCCGGAGTGGCCATGGCCGCCTCTGCAGCGCCTGGCACCGCACCCGGCGCAGGGGGGCGCGCTTCTTTGGGAGAGTCCATCGGCACCGACGCTCGGTGCACTCCGTGCCGCCAGAGTGGCGGGGTCCACATTGGCGTTATATAGGGCTGGGTGGGAGGGGTGGGCTGGGTGGGAGGGGTGGGGGGAGTGGGCTGGGGTGGAGGGTGGGTGGCTGGGTGGTTGGGAGGGGTGGGGTGGGCTGGGTGGGCTGGGTGGGGGGGTGGGTTGGGTGGGAGGGGTGGGTGGGCTGGGTGGGAGCGGTGGGCTGGGTGGGAGGGGTGGGGGGTGGCCCGTGCACCGGTTTTGGTGCGTTGGGGTTGCGTTGTGGGTGGTCAGGGTGGGAGCGCGCCGGAATCGGTGGATCGCGGTGCTGCTGCTGCTGCGCTGTTGTCGCTTTCGGTCTGCCAAGAGGAACACTTTCACAGTTCTGGCAAGTCGCCCGATGACGCTGGTGGTTGTTGTTGTCATCGCCAGCCAAACGTCGTACTAGAATTGTAACCGTTGTGGGTTTACTCCTCCAGCACACGGGTGTGCTGAAGTAGTTAACTAATCGGCACGTTTGTGTTGACGTGACAACCCTTATTGATTGGCTGTGTCGGGTGGTGGCGGGTTTGACGACACATTCATATTTTACGTGATCTAACCCCAAAAAAATGTATGGTGGAAGGTGATAATTGCATGCACTGGAGTCGGTGCCAGGTAGACCGATGTTTGCTTAACGAAGTGGCTTATCATGTAGACATTTATAGCAGCCAAATATTTTAAACGGATGTTGATTCTAAATGTGGAGGGAAAAAGCTCCACATTTCATAGCTGTTACATTAAGGCAGATCCTAAAGTATGCTGACATATACAAATAAACCTCTGAAACCAACTTGAAGTTGCTAAATCCTCTCTTTCATTCTGCCTTTCATCACCGTGATGTTTACTCAGAGACTGGTTATCAGCTCCTCTTTCAACTCAGAGAGGGACTCATTGGGCCAAGTTTATATTAAATGCACACACACAACCACGTAACTCAGTCCCTTACCGAGGCACTATTTATTCAGCCTCAACATCGTAGGCGCTCCACGTCAATAAGAAGTGCACTTTGCCGTGGACTTGTGTACCTCACGTGGTTCCCACTCGTTCTCTGTGGATACCCCAAACTCCTGGAATTCCATCGCTTCAAATAGTCATTGTTACTCTCCCATCTTAATAATCATTTGATGAAAAAACTGTTGTTTTTATACTGATTTCTGTTTGCTTCATCGATGTACTTTAATTAGATTTTGCCATTTCTGTGACCCAGTTCACCGTTGCAAATGAGACTCCTGCAGGTCTCTTGAGATCTCAGCTGGTCACACAAAATCAACTTCAACTAAATGACTCGCCCATTTACTCACTCACTTACTCAATCACTCACCGGCCAGCTCACTCACTCGCTCAGCCACACACTCATTCACCCACTCACTTACTGTGGCAAATAAGGCTCCTCCTGGTGCCTTGAATTCTCAGAATCAGAATTTGTATTTAGACTGGAAGGAATCTGATGAGCTCTGAAGCTGAGAATAGGTTTTCCATTTTTTTCTGGCAACAAAACAGGTGTTAAGATGTTAAAACACCAAACTGAAACCTTTTACAAGTAATCATGTCTACATTAAGCACAATCATATGTTGGTACTGGCAAAAGGAGGTCCCATGATGTAGCTGCTCACCCCGAGCTCTCATTACTCTGATAGTGCTTGTCTTTGTGCTGTATGCCTTTTGGCGTCCTCTGGTCTAACACCGTTTGAGACCGTTTGAGACTAGGCTCAAAAGAAAGCGGTCTCTGGTGTGGACCAATCAGTTTCAAAGACAAATGCATATGTAGTGAGTCCAACTGAGTCGCAGACGTTGTCATGGGAGCAACACTATTTATTACATCAACTCAACACACAACATAATGTAACCTACACTCGGGTGTTGAACGCCCATCTCACCACGCTACGGCAGAACTAGACACGGTCCCACTATCCCGGTCCGGACCACGAGCTGGGTCCCGGACCGCGTGGCTAGAAGCTTCTTCAACCCGACGTGGATCTTCACTCACCAACAGTCAAGAACCCCAAGCCCCACACGGGGCCCCAGTTATATCGGCCTGGGCTGGGGCTGGCTCCGCCTCTCTCCCCACCCACCTTCTCGATCTCTCGAGCCCTTTCCCGAAGGCTCCCGAGAGCTCTTCTATACCACGTGACCACCCAGCGGCCCCCGTCCACTGGTGGCCCCCCTCCAATATCATCCGGTCACATGTCGGCAGGTCAACCAGCGTATCATGCCCCAACGTAACCCTGGCTGGCTGACACTGTCTCGCTCCCTCACCGGGAACCCGCACCGCACACTGTACGTGATGCCTCTGCGCTAACCAGCGCTCACCCAAGCCCCGCTAGGGCTGGTACTACGCCCAGTAACTGGGCTGCACACAATGACAACATATTATCCGCCATGGCCTCGCAAGGCCGGCACCACACAGTGACATTCACAGTCACTACACATATGGAGTGGGTATTGTTAGCGTAATACAACGTCACCACTCCTGACCTGGTGTAGCGCCAGCCATGGGTCAACAGGGGGCAAACAGCGAGTCCGGCCTGTATCAAGTAACGCCGTTCGGCCAGGGAACCCAGAGGGTGGTTGGGAACCGGAGGTACACACCCCAGGCCCCCAGTGGGGGCTGGGGGATTACGCAATAATCCAGGTACCTCCAAAAGGTTCTAGAGAGTAGGCGTGTCCAGGGGCGGAGTCACCCTGGGCACCGTAAATAAGTCGGACCTCTGAACGGGTTTGCCAGTCGTCGTCAAGCAGAAAACCGAAGAGCCAGCCCAGAATAGGACCCTGAGAACCCCCGGACCCGAAGTCCTTGTCAGGGCCGGGACCGAGTGGGCTAGTGGTCGGGACCCGATAACCTTGGCTGGGTCGGGTGAGGCTAGCCTCCCCTCGGTCCCCCCTAGCCGGAGGGCTGTAATATAGAAAGTGGTCCCATTGATGAGGGCACGCTAGCCCAGAGGCTATACCTCCCCAGGGTGAAGGGGGCCGTTACCCCCTTGTGTTAGGGACCTTGTGTTACCGTTATTATTGTTATAAATAAACGTGTTGCCTCCAGAGAAGGCTGAGTCTCCATCTGTACCCACTACACATTATCAGAGTATGTTTTTTTGTTTGCATTCTGACCACAAGTATTGTGTTTAATGTAGACATGATTCCTTGTAAAAGGTTTCAGTTTGGTGTTTTAACATCTTAACACCTGTTTTGTTGCCAGAAAAAATGGGAAAACCTCTTCTCATATTTTGGTACTGGCAAAGGAGGTCCCATGATGTAGCTTTGAAGCTGTATTTTTAAATCCTTTATATTAAGTTCACTTGCTTGCTTGCGCGCTTACGACCGTGCAAATCTTTCGGTCGTTTTTTAACCCACTTCCCGTGATCCAATCGAGCTGACATTTTGCACACAGACTCGTTGTGCGTGACAATTTATTTTCGTGAGAAAATGTTTTCCAACATTTTACACTTTTTAGGAATTTTTTTTTATATTTAATTACCAATTGCTTAATGGTGGCAGGCAATCATCTGACCCATAGGTGGCAGCCATCTCAAGCCAGAGGACTCTAGCCGCCACGCATATAAAGGATTTATAGTGAAAAACTTTGTTTTTACGGGTTAATTTTTTTACATATGTCTCAGCTGGTTACCCAGAATCAACGTGAAACTGGAACTGCTGGATGAAATCCTTGCTCGCCCGCTGCCCACCTCTTACGATCTTGGATGCTAAGATCCACCTAGCACTGTACACCAACTGATCTCATCGCTCCATCTCCTGGGTGCACGTCCCCCGAACACGTTTCATCCTTGGCTGCCGCTCCGTTGCTATGATCGTCCATCATCGCTTCTGGCGGCGTTTCCTTCCCCGCTCTGCTTACTGTTGTGGAAGATGTCATTCACCTGCGTATCTTTGTTCTCATCCATATTATTTCATAATACTTGGTAATTGTGTTCAGGTGTAAAGTGCACGCCCTGTATCGGACATCCTTACCTGCCCCTACTGGACATCTGTAAAAAAGAGCTTTATAGCTCATCAGATTTCTCCAGTACAAATATATATTCTGATTCATGAAATAACCAGACACGATCCCATTGAGACAAAGTAGTCTTAACTATATCTGTTTTCACTTGCATATCCTTCTGTGTAGACGATGTCTCTTTCGCATTGTGTTTAATTAAAGTTTTATTTGTCCAGGGTTATTATTCAGTTTTACTCGTCCTGGGTTTATTAAAGGGGGGTTGGTTATTTTACGTCATGTGCTGTGTGGCCTTGCGTGTATGGACGCCGTATGAAAATCAAGTTTTAGCTCGTTACGGTTTCTTTTTGTAATGGCGACCTGGAGTGCAAACAACACGGGGGAGCCCGAATATCTTTCAATGCAGAAAAGTGAGCAGCGCAAGAAACAAAACCACCGCACACAAGTCAACACGAGAGAGAGAGAGAAAAACGGTGGCCGGGAGGACCCAAACTAAACACCACGCGGGAGGGAGACCGGACACGCTGTGACGGCATCGCCTGCTCACACAATGTTGCTAAAGCTGCGATGTGCTCATGCGTTGGGTTCTCAACCCGGGGGGTACGCGGACCTCTGGGGTTATGCGGCAATGTGCGAATTCATATCATACGTGAGAGTCATCGGTGAATAATCACGTACGAATCGGCAAATATTAAATTACCACGATGCAGTTTGAATCTGTATGCTAATCTAGTACGATATGAAAGACCTTTCTAAACTCAGTGATTGTAAACAACGTGGTTTCCCACCAGAGTAACCAGCGAGCGCACGCAGAGCGTCCGCTCATTGTTGTTGTATTCGCTTGCAGTTACTAAGCTCGTTAGGATACCTCACAAAATTGACAATTGTTTAAAATATTGATGTTCATTATTCATACTTTGATTTCTCAGATAACCATGTTGGGTCAAGCACGGGGGGGGGGGGGTATTCGGTTGAAACAAAATTCAACAAGGTGGCGGGGGGGGGACAATAGCCAAACACAAGGGTTGAGAACCACTTTGCTCGTGTTA